CAGAGGCCCCGAGTGGCTGGGGTGGTGCGGAAAGCTATGACAATGACACAAGTATCCTGCCCCAGCCCTGGCTGCTTGACAGATGCAAATGCAAATTAATCAGCCATCTTTATTGGGTTAATTTGCATACTCCTAATTGGCTGGTCGGTATCGTGAAGGGTATGGTCAATTAACATGTTACTCTTTTATTAGGTAGATTTTTAAAGACATTGTGTGTGTTTAGAGATAAGAAAATTTTTCTTATGAAAAGAACACTGACACTGCTTAATAGTATTTACCTTTTGTTGTAGTGGCCCAGAGACATTCTTTAATTCTTATTTGTCCAGCCACCTTCAGGTACTTGATATAATAATTCACCTACTTGTTTCCGTTTTTTTGTTTTGTTTGTTATTCCTCTTACTTATGCATTTATTGGTTAACTCTTGTACATGTCCTGAGCAGGATCAAAACCACAACCTTGGGACGGAGCTCTAACCACCTGAGCTACCTGGCCAGAACCATATCTGGTTTGGTTCTTGAATAGACTGCAAAGGGAGGTGGAAAGTGTCAAGATCATGTCTCCAAATAAACAGTCTTGCTATTTTTTTTTATTTTTAAAATTGATTTCAGAGAGGAAGGAAAAGGGAGAGATAGGAACATCAATATTGAGAATCATTGATTGGCTGCCCTCTGCATGCCCCACACTGGGGATTGAGCCTGCAACCCAGGCATATGCCCTTGACCGGAATCAAACCTGGGACCCTTGTCTACAGGCCAACATTCTATCCACCGAGCCAAACCAGCTAGGGCCATCTTGCAAGATCAGAATCTAGTGCTTATAAGACTGTCTTTATTGTTCTATGTTTCCTCCAGAGCTGTGTAGAAACAGTCTGCAGTACTTCACAAACTTACCAAGTGAATCTCCCATCACTTTTTGATGGAGAGGGAAGAATAAAATCTCTAAATTGTTTCTACTAAACTAGATGTTAAACACATATAGGGGCAATACCAGCCATCTGTAGTTTGAATCACTGGTTGATTCAAAGATCAGTTAACGTACTCTGAATTTAGAGTATCAGTCCAGTAGTAATAATTTCCTCCCAAGCTAGTCTACTCTCAAGTGTTTGAGGAACAGGATAAATATCTAGTTTGTAGCATAAGAAATCCAGTTAGTAAAGAGAGTCCTCTCTGAGGAATCTCTGCAGTAAATATTTGCTCTAAATCCCAATCAGCACAAACTATTCTAATACTGTTTTTAAATGTAAAACTTGACATGATTGTAAAATCAATTTGAAAACAGGTGACTATAAAGGATATTCTAAAAAGAACATTCTAAAGGTAATACAGAGTAATTTGAAAGCTTGTGGCATTCATTAATTTTGGAACCTATAAAAGCTATCAGTTATGGCTCAGTAGTTGAGTATCGACTCTAAATCAGAAAGTCATGGTTCAATTCCTGGTCAGGGCACATGTCCCAGTGACAGATTTGATCTCCAGTATGGGGCATGCAAGAGGCAGCAGATTCATGATTCTCATCATTGATGTTTTTCTTTCTTTGCCTTCCTTGTTCTCTGAAATCAATAAAAACATATTTAAAAAGAAAAAGAGCCCTAGCTAGTTTGGCTCTGGATAGAGTGTTGGCCTGTGGACTGAAAGGTCCTAGGTTCGATTTTGGTCAAGGGCACATGCCTGGGTTGCAGGCTCAGTCCCTGGGTTGCAGCCAATCAATGATTCTTTCTCATCGATGTTTCTTTCTATTTCTCCTTCTCCCTTCCTCTCTGAAACCATAAAAATATTTTTTAAAAAGAAAAAGTTATCTGCAGAAAGGCATTCACTATCATTATTTTATAAAATTAAAATTATTTTAAAAATTAATGGTTAAATATAACATTATTTGGTAAATCTAATGCAATCATTAATATAAACTAGGAAGAACAGATAATAACATGGGGAAATGTTTTTATTTTTTTAATTGAATTTATTGGTTAATAAAATTATATGGGTTTCAGGGTTACAATTCTATAGTACACCATCTGTAAATTGTGTGTTCACCAACTCAAGTCAGGTTTCCTTCCATCACCTTTTATCTCCCCTTTACCCTCTTTTACCTGCCCCCACCCTCTTTCCCGCTGGTAATAACCATAGTGTTGCTGTGAGGTTGTATCCCACACACAATCTCTTCGTTAAACAATATTTTATTTTTTATATATTCTTATTGATTTCAGAGAGGAAGGGAAAGAGAAAGAACATCAATGATGAGAGAGAATCATCTATCAGCTACCTCCCGCACACCCCACATGGGGATCTAGCCCACAACCTGGGCATGTGCCCTGACCAGGAATTGAACCATGACTTCCTTTTCATAAGTTGACACTCAATTACTGAGTCATGCTGGTTGGGCCTCATCTTTATACAATGTCAATTTTTAAAAGCTAGTATGATCTTGTGTTATGTTACATTTATGTTCAAATAGATAATGCATGGATAGAATAGAAAGAAGCAAGGGAAATAAAGTTGGTTAAAGAGATTCTTCTCCAAACAGTGTGAACTTCAGTGGGATGGATCTGGATCCCAGCAGGCAAGGGCCTCTCAAGGCCCACTGCCCAGAGGGCTGATTGCATCCCAGCCCCGCCTCCCCTCCCCCCTACACACTCCACTTGGAACGGGCACCAGACGCAGGGCTTATGCTGGGCATGAGCCCACAGCAGGCGCAGTGGGCCAGGATGAGCAGGAGCAACAGGTAGGACCAGCAGGCAGCATTAGACTGCCAGTTTTGGCCCAATCCCCACAGGCCACACGGAGGGACCCCACCCATGCACAAATAAGTGCACCAGGCCTCTAGTAGTCTAATAACTGTGCATGGTGTCAGATGGGTATTAGATTTATTGGGATGATCATTTAGTTACATAATGTCTAACCACTGGGTTGTACACCTGAAAATAATATATTGTATGTCAACTGTAATAAAAAATATTTAAAGTTGCCCCCCCCCCCCCAAAAAAAAAGAGATTCTTCTCAAACTGCATCTAATGTTGTAATGGTTTTATAATTTTTTTTTGCAGTATTGTTTTATTTTAGTCACAGACTGTTATACCTACAGACATTGTCAGGAACATTAATGTTCCTCCAAAATTGCCTATATAGTCACTCCATTCATTTTTTATTTTCCCAAACCCGAAAATTAGACTCAAAGTGAAGCAAAGAAGAAACATCATGCATGTAAATTTGAATGGATTTTGGGGCAGAGGGAGAGCAAAAGGAGGATTATGTTAGAATTTATATAACCATTGATTCCAGCTATTACTGCTCTGAAATCTTGTGTCATACCACTAAACCTTAAAATAAGAAGAGATGCTCATACTCTGCACAGACCAAGCAGTCACTAAAGCTTGGAGATGTGAAAAGCCATGGGATAATAGCTGGGTGCAATATATCATTAAGGTTGCACATGAATGAGGGGATAGACAACTTAATAACAAGCAATAGACAGATACCCCATTTTTAGGCCTTTTCTACATTTAAGGAGCCAGACAAACCTAAGGGAAACACTGTGATTTTAAAAACTTGAAGGCAATTTAGTCATATACACTTCTTGTAAAACACATGGACAAAATCAACTAAGTTATATTGTTTTAACTACAAGAATTTATTATTGATGGATCGGAGAATACAGTTTGAATGGAACAGTAAGGCACAGCTGTGGATGAAAACAATTTGCAATACAGCCAAAAGGAGGAAAAAGCCATAATCTTAGGAACTTTAAATATGCAAGTCAAGGAGCCTTTGAAGTACCTCTTTAACAGATCAGTGTCTGTCCTTCCCTTTTATATGATTCCTATAACTACATCACTTGATCTCAAAGTCAGACTGATACTTCACCAAGTATTTCTCAGTCATTTATACTTGAGTTATTCATCCTGGACACCCCTGTTCCCCATTCTGCCTAATCTCTTTGCATTTTTTTTTTTAAAGCAATTTCCTTCCTAAAGTATTATGTATTCATCTTGGATAGAATTCTAAAGCAAGGAAACAAGCATGCAATGAGTCAAGACAAAATCAGCCAAAGGCAGTTATAAGGATGAGCAGACTGATAAACTGTTGAGAGATGTTAGGATGATAACAGGCTGATTCAGTGAGGTCTATACTAAGCTGACTCAGGCAGAAAACTTGCTCTGGCTTGTGCAAAGGGCTGTAATACCTCCTCAGATTTGCCACCAGTGCCAGACCCCTTGTTTTTAAGGGATTAGCAATGGTCTGAGAGAGGAACTGGGAAATAAATGTAAGCAGGCTGCTTATGATACAATACACTCAAAGTTTTGGGCCTTTATTAGGAGCGGACTATGGCCTACAGCATTAACATTTGCCAAGTGTAAAATTCATAGAGAATTTTGTGCAAAACTTCAAGACACTGAGGACAATTTTTAAATATCCTGGATGAGAATAAGTAGGCACTTCTGTAACACTAACCTTTCTATTTGGAAGTGTGAAGTGAAAAACACTGGCATAAACCATGCTGTAGAAGTGGGGCTACATGAGGCTTTTAGGGTGCCAGCATGCTTACTCAAAAAGCCATGGGAAAGTCCCCAAGCCTATCGCCAGAGCAGCCATTCTGGTGGTGACAATGTCCCAAAACTAAGCAAACCTGCTAGCATATGGCTGTTTTCTGAAAGTCAACACTGTACAAGCAAGAGTAGCTACACAGGCATGCATGCATGTTGAGATTCAGAGACCAGAGGTAGAGTGACCCGGGCAAGTCACCTGAAAGACTTTGCTCTACACCTCACCACGGCCACCACCCCTCAAGAAGAACATCTCAAATACACAGCCCTTTGACGACAAAGCAGAATACAGGGAACCAAGGGCGATCACATTCTTCTGAGAGAAGTGTTCAGTATTGAAAAGCTCCTAGAGAGGCAACATCCCAGAGACCTAATTAAGAGTAAAGGTAGTTCAAAACTGCCAGACCACTGAACTATCCTGCCAAGTCAGAAAAATACGTTGAACAGGCATAGCTTGGGATGCTATGGAGAACAGAAGAGATCGAAATGTAATAAAAAGCAGGGAGATTGAAAGATTAATGATGTGTTGGGCAGAAACAAGATGTAGAAAGCAAATGACATATAAAAAAGGATGGAGGAGCATGCCAAAGCCTTGTGGGAGGGAAGACAGCATGGCGATAGTCTATATCCAGTGAAAGAGCTATGCTGGCTGGTTCTTGACATGATTTCTTCTCTGTCAGACGAGATGCACATGTGGCATTCAGCAGCTGAAGGGGAGTGGGGAGAATATTGAGAAATGAAGATAATCGGCAAATGATATGGAACAAATATAGACCAGTTGTACCATTCTGTAATGCCCTGTTTGTACACAAAAGGCAGGTTTATGTTGGCAGACATATAGCGGGTTGTCATGCAACAGTAGTAGTACTTTGGGAGAAGACGAATGATGAAGTGGAGGTGAGGCTGGTGGACAGGAGGATTCCCAAGTTCCAGTTCTTAAATACTAGAAAGCAAGGAACAGTTTAGTAGTCTGAGTCCTTTAGTGAAGAAATCGGATGCTCATTTTCTGTTCTACGTCCACTTTCTCCAAAACCTGGGGAGTGAGGAGGGAAAGCAATTATAGTTATGAAGGTCATAACAGGAGACATTGTCCCAGGCTCTTATCTCAATGTTTTTCTCCCTCCCTCCCTTCCTCCTGTGCAGGATTTAAGTTTTCAAACCATGAGATGACTGACTGACCTTAACAAATTCCGTGAAAGATATAGCACTGTCCCCATCTTGATCAGCCTCCTGGATGGTCCTGTCTGCGATGCTGCCCAGCTGTTCATCTGAGATATTCACTCCGACCATCATGCGTAGCACCTGCAGGACCAAAAGCCAGGCTTACAGGAGACTTGGGGTCAGGGGGACACTTAACCAAGATTAAAAATAAAACTATCCCAACCCTCTTTTCCTCTGATGTCCTTAAATGTAACGGCCAGAAAGCTGAAACCCTTATCTTCTTATGTAGGCCATTCCATTAAAAATAAATAAATAAAAAAATATATATTTTATTGACTGCAGAAAGGAAGGAAGGAAGGGAGGGAGAGGGAAGAGAGAGAGAGAAAGAGATAGAGAGAGAGGGAGAGAGATAGAGAGAGGGAGAGAGGGAGAGAGAGGGAGAGAGAAGTAGAAAGAGGAAGAGAGAGAGAGAGAGAGAGAGAGAGAGAGAGAGAGAGAGAGAGAGAGAAAGGAAGAGAGAGGGAGAGAGATAAGAAACATCAATGGCTGAAACCGGTTTGGCTCAGTGGTAGAGCGTCGGTCTGCGGACTGAAAGGTCCCAGGTTCGATTCCGGTCAAGGGCATGTACCTTGGTTGTGGGCACATCCCCGGTGGGGGGGTGGGGGGTGGGAGGCAGCTGGTCGATGTTTCTCTCTCATCGACGTTTCTAGCTCTCTATCTCTCTCCCTTCTTCTCTGTAAAAAATCAATAAAATATACTAAAAAAAAAAAAAAAGAAACATCAATGATGAGTGAGAATCATATATTGGCTGCCTCCTGCATAATCCCTATAGGGGATCAATCCATACTGGGAAATGGAACTGTGACCTCCTGGTTCCTAGGTCATTGTTCAACTACTGAGCACTGAGAGACACGGGCCTGGATCATTTAGGCCATTCAATGACAATGACATGAACAGAACTCTGGCAAGTTGATTGAATAGGAAAGCAAACCTCACTGAGAGAGAGCCCTTTGCATTTTGCTTTGCCCATTCTTGCTGCCTGGAACATAGAGATGCCTGGTGTTGTAGCAGCCATCCTGGGATCAAGAGGTGAAAGTCATGTGTGCTGTGAATGCCAGAGTAATACAGAAGAAGTCTGGTTCCTGTACATCATTTAGTTGCTGTATCAATCTGGACAACTTCTTACTTTATGAGGCAAATTAATTTCTTTCTTTTTTGCATTGAAGAAGAAAACTTTATTCACTACAAAACACTCAATTGTGACACAGCACAGCTGTGAGGCAGTCCTGGGGCCAGGCCCCTCTCCAGCTAGACAGCTCTGCTCTGCTCCTCCATGGTCTGCCAGGCTCTGCACCATGTTGGTCTGTTTTGCACTGTGCTGTTCTGCTCTGCTCCGGCGAGACATCATCAGTGTTTCAGCTCAGCCAGGGAGCAAACTAGATTCTTACTGGATTTATTAAGTTTGGAAGGGCTTTCTGGAATCCCACCCAAATGCAGTCTCTTTGAGGTGGTGCGCTGACCCACTATCCCTAAAGTATGGCCAAGAAACAGAAAGATCCTTGAAGAGTTAAATACTAAATCCACCCCATCCCCTTTTTAAAAACTATTTTTTAAAACTGATTTCTGGGAGGGACAAAAGGAGAGAAGGAGGGAGGGAAACATCAATGATGGGGGAGAATCACTGATCGGCTGCCTCCTGCAAGCCCCACACTGGGGAAGGGAATCAAGCCACAACCCAGGCACCCAGGCATATTGAACATTGACCTCCTGGTTCATAGGCTGACACTCAACCACTGAGCCATGCTGGCTTGGCCTAAACCCTCCCTTTTAGAAAAATAACACTCTAAGTGCTATGAGAAGTGCAGTAAAGTAAATTTTTAACATTATTTCAATAATTTGTCTCAAAAAAAAAATCCACCCCCTCCCAATTCTGCTAACATTTTTATTTTTATATATATATATATATTTTAATATATTTTATTGATTTTGTACAGAGAGGAAGGGAGAGAGATAGAGAGTTAGAAACATCGATGAGAGAGAGTCATCAATCAGCTGCCTCTTGCACACCCCCTACTGGGGATATGCCCGCAACCAAGGTACATGCCCTTGACTGGAATCGAACCCGGGTCCCTTCAGTCCCCAAGCCGACGCTCTATCCATTGAGCCAAACCGGTTTCGGCTCTGCTAACATTTTTAGATGTGAATATACTTTGAAAACTGCTACCTTAAGCAAAATAAAAAACTTTGATCATATGAACCTTAGTATGAAATGGGGGAAAGGATGCTTTGTGATGCCTCACATCACTGTAGTCAGCCATCTCTGTCTTTAAAAGGTAAAAGCATAGCTTTTCCACAAGAAAGGCCTTCTAGCCCAGCTGTTCATAGGCCTTCCTTTCCCCCACTCCTTTGCAACCCTCTCCTATCTCATGAAATGATTTTTAAAAAGTAAATTAGTTTCTCTGAAGAGTTATAATAATGATGTGCATCAACATTAGTCATTCTACCCCACCTCCCTCCCACTGCCCCAGCAAATCAACTGTAGAAAATTGGAAGTTGTACATTTTGGGGATAAATGTACACACATTGAAAGATTAATAAAAAGAGGCAATGCTAGCAAAAACAAAAAGTAGCCAAGCCATTTGCCATTTTTCCTGATTGTGTATGGCTGATGAGACAACTCAGTCTAACCTCAAACCTCTCTATCAGATCTCAGTCAAGGGCATATACATGCCTAGGTTGCGGGCTTGATCCCCAGTGTGGGGCGTGCAGGAGGCAGCCAATCAATGATCCTCTCTCATCATTGATGTTTCTATCTCTCTTTCCCTCTCCCTTTCTCTTTGAAATCAATAACAATATATTTAAAATGAATAAATAAAAATGAAAAAGGGAAGAATTTTCTCCCCTTCTAAACTTGTACGTATTTCGAGAAAGGGAGAGAGGAAGAATAGAAGGGCAATGACTAATAGGATGAAATCCCAGTCACTGCTGGTAAAGGACAGGGGAGCAACAAAAGACAATGAGCAATCAGCTTGTAACCAGCCCAGCAGCAGATCCTTGACTCTTATGTCAAGGCCAAGGTCAGACGAAACAGTGGTAATTACCCAGTGTCATCAGAATTACCCAGCTGCCAATGAACTGACAGGACACTAACAGAACATTTTAATCATCTCACATATTTAGTTCTGCCAGTCAGCACCTAAAAGACATTTAGTTTACCCTTTTTTGGAGGGTGGGGGTGAAGGAGGGAGGTAATCCCCATCCAGTGATTTTTTTTCATTGATTTTTTGAGAACGGAGGGGGGAGAAAGGGAGGGAGGGGGAAAAGACAGAGAGAGAGAGAGAGAGAGAGAGAGAGAGAGAGAGAGAGAGAGAGAGAGAGAACACATCAATATGAGAGAGAGACATTGATTGGGGCCAGGAATCAAATGGAGAATTTTAGGTGTGGGGCGTACACTCCAACCACTGAGCAACAGTGGCCAGGGCAAACTGAGTTACCTTTTAAATAGAGACATTTGTCTTTGAGAAATTAATGAGCCATTTCAAGTTTCCCCAAATTATGTGCTCTTCCTTATTTATAGGATAGAACTCTGCACACAGCAGGAGGTAAGTAAATGCTTCTTGAAGGAAAGTATAATTCCTGCCCAAATGAATAAGCAGGCAGGGCCCAAACACAAGTTCTCCATGTGCATGGGAGCTCTCCACATACCTGTAACAGCTCATCTCGGGAGATCTTGTCATCTTTATCCAAGTCATATAGTCGAAAAGCAACTGAGAGGGAAAAACAAGTTAGTGGAAATTCAGTAGTGTTTTTCCCCTTCTCAAGAAACTAAATATGTAGATAACTAAACCAGACAGAAAACTAAAAGTGAATTAATATTTTCCAAGAACCATTGCCATTACTTGTAGAGCTTTTAAAGACATTGTAAATTGTAACACTTAAGAAATTGAGATACATCCCATAATTGATGGCATCTTAGCTTTGATGAAATATGGGGCCCTCCTGGAACAAAACAGAAAACTTAATAAAAAGTCAAATGTCCTTTTTCTTTTGTTGTTAATCTTCACTGGAAAATATGTTTCCATCATTTTTTAAAGAGAGTGGGAGGGAGGGTGTGAGAGAAACATCAATGTGAGAGACACACATTGATTGGTTGTCTCCCACATACACCTTGATTAAACCTACAACCCTTAGGTGCTAGGGCTGACCCTCTAACAACTGAGCTACTGGCTAGGAGCAAATGTCCTTTTTCTTATATTAGAATGTAAAAAAAACACACCACCATCCAGCCTGGCCAGTGTAGCTCAGTGGCTGAGCGCCCACCTATGAAGCAGATCACTGTTCCATTCCTGGTCGGGGCACATGCCCTGGGTTGCAGGCTCAATCCCCAGTAGGGGAAGTGCAGGATTGATGACTCTCTCTCATCATTGATGTTTCTATCTCTCTCTCCTTCACCCTTCCTCCTGGAAATCAGTAAAAATATTTTAAAAAAACATAAAACAAACCACCACTCATAAGTGATTCTGTAAATTAGGTTATCTCACACAATCCATCAAGTCTACTGTGCACTGCTCTGGGGAGGCCAACAATCAGAGCCATACAGCTAACCAAATGGCTGACTATACCCAGTATTGCCTTGGGAAAACGGTCCCTTTGGTAAATTTGAGCAAGTTTCAAATAATTTTCTACTACTTGGGAGTGCTGTAGGTAAAGAGCTTCAGTTTCAAGTAGCAATGCCAAGAATTTGATGGTCTTATTCTAGAAAGTAGGCTATATAAGAGACTCCAGAAGAGCAAAAATCATTCAGCCATCGCTTCTCAGCCTTTTGGCTAAGATCAAGTGTAAAAATCATTCAGCCATAGTGCTGAAGGGCTACCAAGTGAATCTTGGAGGGAAGCAGCCAGGGTCCTGGGTGCTTGCCGGTGGTCAGAAGGGAAGCCTGGGTCCCAGGTGCTGGAGGGAAGCAGGTGCTGCCAGCTGGGGGAAGGAAGGTCTACTCTAGCATCAGGCGTTTAGTAGTGTGATAATGATGATGTTTTTTGTTTTTACCAAAAGAGAACATTTGTTGGGTTCCTAGAAGAAATGGGTTAGGAAACAAATTATAGAGGAAGCTAATGGTAATGTGAGTGGGGGGGGGGGGAAGGGAGGGGACAGGGAAAGCCAAGGGTATGCTCCTGGGAGGAAGAGCGCCAAGCGTGGATGATTTTATAGGCGCTGTGAGACATCCTCACCCTGAGGAAGTGACTGCCTCTGTTTTGAGGCTTTGAATCACTTCAAGTATGCCACTAAGATTTTTGGTTTTCAGTAGAGTGCTGTGAACACTAAAAGGCCAAAATTCAATGCTCGAAGCATTAAGACACAGATTTAGAGCTTGTCTTTAATTAAGGAGCTCATGATGTAGTGGAAATCAACATGTATTTCTTACTTTATTTCTTAAAAATACTTTTATTGATTTCAGAGAGGAAGGGTGAAGGAGAGGGAGAGAGAGAGAAACATCAATGATGAAAGAGAATCATTGATCCTGCCCACCCCCTACTGGGGATTGAGGCTGCATATGCCCTACAGGGAATTGAACTGTGACCTCCCGGTTCAAAGGTAGCTGCTCAAGCACTGAGCCACACAGGCCGGGCCACATTACTTACTTTATAAGTGCTATCATATATCTGAAATTCAGGGAGACAAAGCAAATAGCAGATATGCCTTTCTGATTCAGTAACATTTGAACAAGTCTGACAAAGTGGCATTCCAGGCAGAGCTAGCACTAGGTACAAATACATGAGCACATGGTTGAGAACTGACCCATGAACCACGCAGTCACAGTTCAATTCCAAGAGTTGTGGGCTCAATCCCATAGGGGGCATGCAGGAGGTGATTCCCTCTTATTGATGTTTCTTTCTCCCTCTCCCTTTCTCTCTCTAAAATCAATAAAAAATATGTTTTAAAGAGTTAAATATCACACACCCCTAAAGAAGTGCATTCTTTAAAAGTTAAAGTATTCCGGCCAATGTTGCTCAATGGTTGACCAGTAGGTCACAGTTCAATTCCCAGTCGGGGCACATGCCTGGGTTGTGGGCTCAATTCTTGGTAGATGCAGTGCAAGAGGCAGCTGATCAATGATTCTCTCTCATCACTGATGTTTCTATCTCTCTCTCCCTCAGAAAGCAATAAAAATAAAATTTAAAAATAAAAAAAGTAAAAAATATTTTTTTAAATCTAACTTACTCTTTGTAAGGTATATTAGAATTCTGGAGGGGGAAGATTTTCTCTAATGTTGTCTGTTCTTAATTTGGTTAGTTGAGTAACTATCTTTATCAAATTTGAAAAATATATATGCTTAGATGGTTTAGAGTTTAAGGGAAAGGAGACAAAGATCATAAGCGTTCCTCCAGGAATATAGGTTTAATATATTTCCTAAACTAAACACACACACACAATTCTGTATATATTGTCACATTTCAGAAATAGGATAAAATGTGTTATCTACTAAGCTATCTTCAGGATGATTTTGGGATAGAAACCTGTTTGCTATATAACCCTTTAACATGTATTTCTGCATTTCTTAATTAGGTAACTGGAATATACATGCCTTTCTGTTGAAGTATTTACAGAAGCCTGAACTGCTAATTCTTTTTAAAAATTAATCAGAGTGACTGGTTAATAACATGTTTCAGGCATGCAATTCTGTACTATTAATATATCATCTGCATATTGCGTTGTGTGCTTACCACCCAAAGCCTAATTTCCTTTTGTGACCATTTATTTGATTCTCTTCATTCTTCCCCCACCCTTCTCCTTTTCTGGTAACCACCATATTGCTGCCTGTATCTATGGTTTGTTTGCTTATTGCTTTCTGTTTTATATCCCACATATGAGTGAACTCATGTGGTTCTTGTCCTTTTCCATCTGACTTTAATTTGCTTAGCATACTTTCAATATCCTTTCATGTTGTTGCAAATGGTAGTATTTCATCCTTTCATCATCCATCAAAGGACACTTAGATTGTTTTCATTTTTTGGCCATATGAATAATGCTGCACCAAACAGAGGAATACATATACCTTTACAAATAAATGTTTCCAAAATTTTTAGGATGATACCCCAAAGAGGGACTGCTAAATCATGTGGTCTATTCTTATTTTTTTGAGGAAACTTCAAATTGTTTTCCTTAGTGGCTGAACCAGTTTACTTTCCCACCAGCAGTGTATGAGGACTCCCTTTTCTCCACATCCTCTCTAACACTTGTTATTTATTGTTTTATTGATAACTGCCATTTTAACAAGTATGAGATGGTATCTTGTAGTTTTAATTTGCATTTCCCTTATAGCCAGTGAAGTTGAGCATCTTTTTAAAATGTTTTTATTGCTTTCAGAGAGAGGAAGAGAGACAGGAACATCAATGATGAGGGAGAATCACTGATTGGCTGCCTCCTGCATGCCCCCTATTGGGGATTGAGCCCACAACCAGAGCATGTGCCCTGACTGGGAATTGAACCATGACCTCCTGGCTTATGGGTTGACAATCTCTGAGCCACACCAGTCAGGCAGGTTGAGCAAATTTTATAAATCTGTTGGTTTTTGTATTGAACTGCTTATTTTAAAACCAAGTGCCATGGAGTGAAGATTTGTGTGCCCCCCCGCCCCCCCCTCCCCCCCCCGCCAATTCATGTTGAAGTCTTAACCTCCAATGCAATCCTATTAGGAGGTAGTGCCTTTGTGGGTAATTAGGGTTAGATTATGTCATGAAGGTAGAGTCCTCATGATGGAAGGAGACAGATCTCTCTCGCTCCCTCTCTGTCTCTACCATCCTCTCCATGTGAGGATACAGTAAGGAGATGACTATTTGTGAACAGTAGAGGGACTTCATTGGGAAACTGACCATGTGACACCCTGATCTCAGACTTCCCAGACTCCAGAACTGTGAGAAATGTCTGTTATTTTCGTCACCCAGCAATGGTGTCTTGTTACAGAGCCTGAGCAGACTAAGACACCGGCAATGTAACTGAAGAGATCACCCGGTAGTACGTTTTAGAAAAAACTGCAGCAACAGTAGTTACTTTTCAACTGACTTGGATTCCTGTCAGGCAGCTCTGTCCCTGAACCAGAAGAAACACTTTCCCCAAGATAATGAACAGTCAAGTGCACAAATGACTGAGCCATTTTGTTAGGTCTTCTCTTTCCTTTTCTACTCTCCCTTTCCTGATTCTTGGTCCTATGACTTGGACTTTTGTCTCCAAAGCAGCCTTCTGGAATTTCCAGTTCCATGGCTTCCAATGCCTCCTAATTCTGAATGCTCCCAAACATGTAGCTCCAGCTCAGACCTCTTGCTTGAGCTCCTCAGCCCAATACAATACAGAAGTTAAGACTGTCTGGGTCTGCTGAATCCTGGCTCTGAAGCTTACTAGCATTGTGACTCAGTTGCCTGAAGGGTGCAAAATAAGAACAGAATCCACCTCATAGGGTTCTGAGGACTGAATGAGTTGGCACATGAAAGACACTTTATTGTTGTTGTTCTTTAGCTAATGGTAATGTGCTTGGGCAGGGAAGGGGAAAGAGAAAGGCGTGAGATCCTGGGAGGAGAGCCAAGAAAGGCACTTTAATTAGTGTCTGGCACACAATAAGAGCTCAATCAACGCCATTTACTTGCCATCACCTCTCTAGCCTCCTCCCATACCACTCACTTCTTTCTTGATAATGCTTCTTTGTTCTCTGAACACACCAAATACTAATTACACACAAAGGCCTTTAAACCAGTTGTTCCCTTTGCCTAGAACTCTCCTATCTTCACATGGTTGGCACAGTCTTAGCTCATATTTCAATTCCTCAAAGAGTTCACTGACCCCTCATTCTAAAGTTTGACACTTTATAATCTCACCTTATTCATTTCCTTCATAGAACTTGCCATGCTTTTAATCTTGTTTATTTATTTGTCTTTTTCCATAGTCTGTCTCCCATATTAGATCATAAGCTCTATGAAAGCAAAAAACCTAATCTGATTTATATGCATCATTATATCCTGGGCCTAAAACAGTGTTCTGCACCTAGTAATTACTCATACATTTGCTTAATGACAGACCAAACTAATGATCTCAGTCAAACCTTTTACCTTTTAATCACTGTTTATTCTCTTAAATAAAATATACATAAAATTTACCATTTGACCCTTTGTAAGATTAGTTAAGTATTTTCACATTTTGGTATAACCATCACCATGATCCATCTCTAGAACTTTTTCAGCTCTCCCAACTGAAAGAAACTCTGACCCATTAAACTATGACTCCCGCCGGGACCGGTTTGGCTCAATGGATAGAGCGTCGGCCTGCGGACTGAAAGGTCCCGGGTTCGATTCCAGACAAGGGCATGTACCTGGGTTGTGGGCACATCCCCAGTGGGGGGTGTGCAAGAGGCAGCTGATCAATGATTCTCTCTCATTGATGTTTCTAACTCTCTATCCCTCTCTCTTCCTCTCTGTGAAAAAATCAATAAAATATATTAAAATAAATAAATAAATAAATAAATAAATAAATAAACTATGACTCCCATCACCCCAAACCCCCAGCCCCTGGCAACTTTCTCTCTATAGATTTGACTACTCTAGGAACCTCATATAAGAGTATTCAAACAATATTTATCCTTTAGTGGCTGGCTTAATTTTTAATTAGTTATTAACTAGAGGCCCGCTGCACGATATTCTTGCAAGAATAGGCCTTCCTTCCCCTGGCTTCGCTTTCCGCCAAGTTCCGGCTCCTGGGCCGCCTGGGAGCTGCCAAGTCCCCGCTTCTGGCCCAAGTACTGCTCCTGTAGCTCCCTCCACTCCCCCTTCTATCCCCCTCATAGCAGGCGTCCCACCCGGCCCAGCTGCTCCATGCCTGCATATGCAACTTAACCCTTCACCTTTGTCAGGTTAATTTGCAAACTTACTCCTGATTGGCTGTGGGTATAGCAGAAGTACAGACAATTTACATGTTTGTCTATTATTAGGTAATATTTGAGAGAGAGAAAGGGACAGAGAGAGAGTGATGTGTTGTTCCACTTATTTATGCATTCACTGGTTGATTCTTATGTATGCCCTGACCAGGAAACCCACAACCTTGGCATATCCAGATGATGCTCTAACCAACTGAGCTACCCAGATAGGGCCATTCCCTTTTTCCTTGAACAGGGAATTACTACTTTTTCTGAGACAGCCCTATCCTTACATGAGTATCTCTCTTAAAAATTCTTCCTTCTGTTGAACTGAAATATATCCATGTCCTTGTTGCATAAATTCTCCACATCATAAACTTGCAAATATTTGAAGAAAAATCTCTAACCCAATCTTATCTTCTTCTGACTTTATGCCCACTTCTTTCAAAATCTTTTTATGGGGGGAAAAGGGGAATTTAGTGAGCATAGAATTTCAGCTTTACAAAATGAAAAGTTCTGGAGATAAGTTTCACAATAATGTAAGTATTCTTAACACTACGAAACTACACTTAAAAATATTTAAGATGGTAAATTTTGTTATGTGTTTTTTAATACAATAAAAGGACTCTTACTTACGATAATGATTCATGTGGTCATCAGTGCCTTCAAACTTCTAGTTGCTTTTTATATATATGCTCTAGTATAGCTCCAGAATCTAAACTAAAATATGGTTCCCAAGATGTGTTCTTTTTAGCACAGAGTGGGATTATCACTAGTCCCATTATGATACATTTCTCTACTCAAACCTAATATTATATTACTTTGACGGTGGGGGTTGGAGGTTTGGGGAGGGGTGCTACAAAGCAGACAGCTGCAGTGAATGGTGGCTTCATTTTTGTCTCAAACAGTATTGTCTTGAAAGAAGCAATTAGAACTCACCAATATAGTATTATCCAGTAAATTTGATCACAAATCATTTGAGTTCTATTTTCTTCTATATCTAGTTTTGTTTATGTTCAAGTGTTCTGCTCTTCATTAAGGTACATGATCTTATGTACAGAGAAGAGCAGTATTTCATTATTTTGGTTGAAAAATCTTCCCTACCCTATACAACAATACTTATTTCAGTGCTTCTTAAACCCTTTTCTTGAATAAAGGAGTGAACTCATACTCCTATCCTATAGACAGGGAGACCAGAGTATGGGCCAAGGGCCACAAATAAAAAATTTATGTCTTATGCACCATATAAAAAAATATATGTACATTTGGTATGATAGTCTATAATTCATCTATATTTGTTTCAATATTAAAAAGTCTTTTCACAGACCTCTCTGTATACCACTGTGAATCCTTGAAGAGAAGCTTGAATTCAATCAATTCAACATAATTTCAATCCCAACTGTGACTGTGTTAAATGAAAAGAGAAATTATATTTTAATTTCTTAGAGAAGTTTTGTAAGAGATTGGGCAATATTATACATGAACCAAGGACAGAGGGAAATCTGACAAACATCCAAGGAAAGGAGGCAAAAGGCAAGGGAACAAAATTTAATATTGCACAAACCCAGCTGTCCACTCCCACTTGAGTCATATCTAACACCTATCAAATTCTAAGATGAGCTGAGGATTATCATTCCTCACAAGTGGGCCTGGGTCTTTTTCCCATCCAAGCACTGCTTAGCTTCCAATTGAGATCGGGTACGTTCAGGGTGGTATGGCCATGGCCGTAGACGGGGCTGGATCTTTTTACTGTTGTCATCCTAGCATTTACTACAGTTCCTGGTACACAGTAGGCATTCTATAATTTATGAGTAATATTAGTAGCCAACTCTTGCCAGGCACTAAGTACTTGACATATATTAACTCATTTAATCCTCACAAACATCCCTAGGTGAAATCTTTTAATATTCCACTTTACAAAAGAGGAAATCAAGGCCCAAAGAGTTTGAATAATTTGCCCAAAGTCACATGGTCAAAAATGGCAGAGCTGGAATTCATACCTAGCCAGTTTAACTCCAGGGTCTGAACTCTTAACCACAATACTCTTTTTTGTTAAATAAATGAATGAGTAAGTAATCTGTAAGAAATAAAAAGCAAATGTTTTAAACCAGAAGACTTCAGCTCCTTACAGTGTAGTTTGTTGCTTCGGCTGTTGAGTGGTTCTGGTCCATTCACATCTTTACTCTTTTCATTATCTTCAATGGGTCGGAAATGAGCCAAAGTTCTCATGAATCCACGAAAGTTTACCTGGTCCTCTCTGATTGGGAAATATAACAAACAGAACACCATGTCAAACAGGGTAATAATTTCTTATGAATTCAATTTATTAGCAAAAGCTTAAGCTAAAATGGCATGAAAGTCCATCCAACAATATACACAGTACTAATATTTTAGTATTCATAAAATATCTTCATTTAAGCCTCACCTCAACCTTGTGAGGTAGGCATTGATGTTTCTCTCTTTCACTCCCTCACTCTCCCTTTGTGAAATCAATTTTAAAAAATGTATTTTTAAAAACAAACTCACTGCTTTGGAATCTGCAACAGCAGCAAGTTGTCATTTCAACTGAATGACTTCCAACCATGTCCTATGTCTCCCCTGCAGTCACATATACCTAGTGATATTTTAAGGTTAAGGCATACTATGGAAAATCTTATTTTTTAATAATATATTTTTTAAAAAGATGTGTGTAGCCCTAACTGGTTTGGAGGGTCCCAGGTTAGATTCCGGTCAAGGACATGTATCTTGGTTGTGGGCACATCCCCAGTAGAGGGTGTGCAAGAGGCAGCTGATTGGTATTTCTCTCTCATCGATGTTTCTAACTCTCTATCCCTCTCTAAAAAAATCAATAAAAATGTATTTTAAAAAAATATGTGTTTATTGAGTTCAGAGAGAAAGGAAAAAGGAGAGAGAGAGAAAAACATCAATGATGAGAGAATTATTGATTGGCTGCCTCCTGCACACCCCTTACTGGGGATCAAACCCAGAAATCAGGCATGTGACCTTGACTGGAATCGAACCTGGGACCCCTTTCAGTATGCAGGGTCACGCTATATTCACTGAGCCAAACCAGCTAAGGCTGGAAAAGCTATCGTTAAAATAAATGCTATCTATATATAGGGAATATGCTAATTAGCCAAGCATCACGACTGCTCCGGAAGAGCTGTCCACATAGATGGCAGGAACTGCATGCCGCCCCCAGTCTCAGAGGCCGCAGGGAAGTTGGGGCTGGGTGCAGGCTGGAGCGGAGACACAACACACAGGAGGGCCTGCACCCCCCCCAGCGGACACAACACAGCAGCCCAGCTCATGGGGTGCCTCCTCGCCTGGTGGGAGGTGGGGCGCCTCCTGCATTCAATATTCTTTTGAATTAGTTTTAGGTATAATGCATAGTGGTTAGACAATCATATGCTTTCAAAGTGTTCCCCCCTGATATTTCCAGTAACCACCTGGCACCACACACACAGTGGGGCAAAAGTAGGTTTACAGTTGCTTGTATAGAAAACGTAAGAATTAATAAACACTATACTCCGTTACATTTACAATATCTTGTTAAAAATGTAAGATCTGCCCTAAATGGTTTGGCTCAGTGGACAGAGCATCAACATGCAGACTGAAGGGTCCTGAGTTCAATTCCAGTCAAGGGTATATGCTGGGGTTTCAGGCTTGATCCCCAGTGGAGGGCTTGCAAAAGGCAGCCAATCAATGATTCTCTAATTGATGTTTCTCTCTCTCCCTCCCCTCTATCTTCCTCTCTACAATCAATAACAAATATATTTTTAAAAATAAGGTATGAGGAATCAAGTAATATGAAATAAGATTTGAGTTATATGCCTGAAAAAACAAGTTAATAAGTATATATTTTACTGCCATAATGTCTCTGAGTTAAAAGTAACTAAATACCAACCTAGCCAATTAGGTTCAGTGGATAGTGTCGGCTTTCAGACTGAAGAGCCTTGGGTTTGATTCTGGTCTAGGGCACCTACCTTGGTTCAGGCGCCATCCCTGGCCCTGGTTGGAGCGCATACAAGAGGCAACCAATTGATGTGTCTCTCTCACATCGATGTTTCTCTCTGTCTCTCCCCATCCCTTCCACTCTCTCTAAAAATCAATGGAAAAATATCCTCAGATAAGGATTAATAACAATAAAAAATTGACTATGTACCAATGTTCCACTTTCAAACAGAAACAATGATTTGCTGCCTCCTATATGGTCCCCTTTGGAGATCAAATCCGAACCCTAATATGTGCCCTGACCAGGAATCAAATCAGTGACCTCCCGGTGTGTGGATTGGATGACATTCAACCAACTGAGCCACACCGATGGGGCAAATCTCATTCTTTAAATACATTTTTTTAATTGATTTTTTTTTTGAGACAGGAAAAGAGAGAAACATCCATCAAATGCCTCCTACACATACCCTAACCAGGTCTCGAACCTGTAACCCAAACATGTGCCCTGACCAATTGACCTTTTCAGTGCAGAGGATGACAGTCAACCAACTGAGCCACACCAGCCAGAGCTCAAGTGTCATTGTTTAAAAACAGGATTCCAGTCCTGGCTGGTGTGGCTCAGTTGTTTGGAGCATAATCTTGTACACCGATTTCCAGTCAGGGCACATACCTGTGTTGCAGGTTAGATCCCTGGATGGGGTGTGAAATGGGAGGCAACCGATTGATGTCTCTCTTGCATCAATGTTTCTTTCTCTCCCATTCCTTCCCCTCTCTCTAAAAATCAATAAAACATATCCTCAGGTTAGAATTAAAAAAAAAAAATCCACTTGCATAAGACTAGACAAAAAGCATTCCTTATAAGCCAGATATTTATATCTTACTAGAAAGAGCAAAAAGCAGAAGTGCGGCTTGCTAAGAACTTAGCAGTGCATCCCAGTGTGGGCCTCAGTTTCCTCATGTATATCTGCCTATTGTCTTTAGCAGCAGATCCCTGGGTAGGAGATTTGGCCTTACAAAACAGCTTTCCACAAGCTGCTTCTTCAAATAATCAAGGGTGACTGAGGAACTCTGAAAAAAAGTTGGCAAAATGACTCCATAGGGTTTACTTTTAATTGCAAAATATCTGAATATGAAACATAGCTGTGAAAGTTCTCTCTGGAGAAGTTCAGTGCTTTGCAAAAGCTAAAAGAAGAAGTGGAAAAACCACACCTAAAATAAACAGGGCAGTTCAGGGAGAGAAATGGGGGGAAATGAGGGAGGGTAGCAGATTACTAATGGTCAATATGAATCTGAAAGAGCAGGTCTGTCTTCATATTCCTACCTTCATATGAATTGGCTGCTTAGTGTTCCTCTATCATTCAGATTTACTGAGTATCCAACTTCTCAACTTTTGCAAATTCTTTTGCTCTCAATTCAGGTTCTAAAATTTCTCCAGACATTTTATGTGATAGTGTCCTCACTGATACTTTTTCTCATTACGAACTGGCAACCAAATAACTTCTTAAAGTCCTTTGGGTCATATAGACAAGCAACAAGGAACCAGGAAGAGATTGTTAACAATTACCTAAAACAAGATTATATAATTATCTTTATTCATGAAAAGGTACCTAATCAAATCAATAAATATTGACTCAGTACTTTGAAGGCAGTGTATTAGGTAGTGAAGCATATCAACAGCCTAGTTTTACATTAGACAAACCCAAATCTATTTGAGAAAGTAAGTGTGTGGTAGGGATGAATGTATTCTTAGTCAAAGATTGTATTTTTTTTTTTTATTATCTTTTATTGATTTTTTACAGAGAGGAAGGGAGAGAGAGCTAAAATCGTTGAGAGAGAAACATCGACCAGCTGCCTCTTTCACACCCCCTATCGGGGATGTGCCTGCAACCAATGTACATGCCCTTGATCGCAATCAAACCTGGGACCTTTCAGTCCACAGACCGACGCTCTACCACTGAGCCAAACCGGTTTCGGCAAAAGACTATATTCTTAGTCTTTCTATATTCTATAACAAAACAAAATAAACCCACATAAAGAAACAAAGGCTGTGCAAATGATCCAAATTAAAGAAGGCTAAAGATACATGACAACTGACTTAGACTGCATTCTGTTATTAAAGGGGTGGGAGGAAGTGCTATAAAGGAGATTACTGGATGAACTGTTAAAATTGAAATATAAATAATACATTAAAACTAGAGGCCTGGTGCACAAAATTCATTCCCTCAGCCCGGCCTGCATCCTCTCGCAATCTGGGACCACTAAGTGGATGTCTGACTATCAGTTAAGGCCCAATCCCACAGGGATCCCTGAGGGATCAGGCCTAAACCAGCAGTCAGATGTCCCTCTCGCAATCCATGTCTACTGGCTCCTAATTATTCGCCCACCTGCCGGCCTGCCTGATCACCCCAATTGCTTGCCTGCCTACCTGATTGCCCCTAATAATTCTACTTGCTTGCCTGATTGCCCCTAACCACCTCTGCTTCAGCTCCCTCTATGGCAGATTCATCTGAAATGACTTCTGGAAGGTCATTTGGCTGTCTGGTCTAATTGGCATATTACGCTTTTATTATTATAGATAAAATAGATAATGGGAGGAATGGGTAATGGTAGTCAAAGTGTAAAACTTCCAGTAATAAGGTGAATAAGTTCTGGGATGTAATGTACAGTATGATGACTATAGTTAATAATACTATACATTTTATTTTTTAAATATATAATATATATTTAAAAATAGTTTGTCTTTTTTAAAAATATATTTTTATTGATTTCAGAGAGGAAGGGAGAGAGAAAGAGAGAAGGAAACATCAATGATGAGAGAGAATCATTGATTGGTGGCCTCCTGCATGCTCCCTACTGGGGATCAAGCCCACAACCCGGGCATGTGCCTTGACCAGGAATCCAACCATGGCCTCCTGGTTCATAGGTCGACACTCAACCACTGAGCCATACCAGCCGAGCTATAACATATATTTGAAAGTTGCCATGAGAGTATATTATAAAAGTTCTTAACACACACAAAAAAGTTAACTATGTGAGGTGATGAATATATTAACTAATGTCATTGTGGTAATCATTTTTGCAATAAAACTGTAAAATCACTGTTGTATATCTTAAATTTACACCATGTTATATGCCAATCATATCTTCAATGAAGCTGGAAAACAAAGAATAAATTACCTAATATTTTATATTACTATAGCATTTGGTAGGTGCTTAAGTGTAAATTACACAATGAATTTAAAACACGTATTTTAAAAAAGATTGTTAAAATATATTAATAATTTTAAAATACTAATTACATATTGAATGATATTTTGAATATATTAAATAAAATATATATCACTGAAGTTCATTCAACTTGTTAATTTTTACTTTTTAAATGTGGCTACTAGAAAATGCATAATTACGTATGTGTCTTGATTATATTTTTATTGGTTTGGACAGAAAGTACATGCAAATGAGGCAACATGTTAACAACAACATAACAATAGATGTTTCAGGGTAAAAGATATACAGGTGTCCTTTACACTATTTTCAATTTTTGCAACTTTCCTGTATATTTGAAGTAACTTCCAAATAAAGTTTTTAAAGACTTTAGTTTTATATCAAAGATAAACAGGATTAGCCCTGGCAGGGTGGCTCAGTTGGTTGGAGTGTTGTCCTATATACTAAAAAGGTTGGAGGTTTGATTCCAAGTCAGGGCACATACATAGGTTTCTGGTTTGATCCTCAGTTGGGGCATGTATGGGAGGCAACTGATCAATGTTTCTCTCTTTCCCCTTTCATCTCTCTCTAAAAATCAATAAAAAGCAAACATCCTCAGGTGAGGATTTAAAAAATAATTTATAAATATATAAACAGGGATTAAAAACAGAATTTTAAAGACGGGCTCATATACCTGTTTAAAGTTTAAAAAGGGAAGAGGGTAGAAGAAAAGGCATATTCTAGATATGTCTAAGTTAGGAATGTTCAATATAATCAGAAGGATTGTGGTCTGAGATGACAAAACCAACATCATTATTCCAGATCAACCTCAGAAAGGAAGCCAAATCACTGCAGGGACTCACCCCTCTGGAAAGAAGGCATTGATGATCCGGTCCCCCAATGGGTTGATGGCAAGTTCTGGAATCCGCTGGAAATCTTCCCGGCTGCCAAGAGAATCATCTTGAGTTAGAGCCCATTGGCACTTGGCATGAACTCCTAGCAAGGATATTACCTTCTGGAATTTACTTCTGTGGCAAATTGTATTAAATAACTGCAAAGAATAGCACTTTAATAGCTGCCAAGTGTTTCTTGCACCAAGTTAGGAGTGGAAGAAGCCAGATTTAACTTTGCCACATTCCAGTGAATTCAGCACACAGGTTACGTCAATAAACCACCAACCAGCAAATACTCAGTTGTCCCTGTAAATGATTCCTTGAACATTACCATTTTGTACTTAGTTATTAAGTTTGAAGAATAAACAGGAAGATCTACAGCACTATGACATACAAATAACTCTGAGGCAATGCTTAAGTCCAAGGAAAGAATAAAATGTAACAAACTGATTTCCAGACTTCCTTGCTCTGAGTCTGTTTTTTTTCTCCATTATCTTCTACTGACTAGAGTTAGAGGACTATTTAACCTTCAAACATGGCAAGAGTAGTTATCTACTCACAACTTGGGAGTTATATTTGAGTATTATTAGTTACTTTATACATATTATGTGCTGCTCTGTTTATATACATTATCTCATTTCTTAATTCTAACATTTTACCTATATCCTTCTAGAATTGAGGAAGTTGAGTCAGAGAGATAAAGTAACTTGCCCAATGTTACAAAGCTACTGAGTAGCAGACCTGTGATTTAAACCTAAGTCTGTAAGTCAAGCATGTCTTTTTCTAAAAGCACATTTATTTCCAATATTAAACTTTTAAAAATATATATCTTTGATTTCAGAGAGGAAGGGAGAGGGAAAGAGAGACAGAAACATCAATGATGAGAGAGAATCATTGATTTGCTGCTTCCTACACTCCTCCTACTGAGGATTGAGCCTGCAATCCAGATATGTACCCTTGACTGGAATCAAACCTGGGACCCTTCATTAAGCCAAACTAGCCAGGGCTCCAATATTAAATATTTTGAAAGAAAGGTTTTCTCCCAAAAATGTTCAATAAGTATTTAAAAAAGAAAACTTGATATTCTGTACCAATATAGAGTTGTCTACAACATAACTGTGCTATACTTTTCAAAAATACCAATGTCATGAAGGACAGAGAAAGTCATGATTGTTTCAGATCCAAAGAGACTAATGAGCCATAAAACTAAACTCAATACTTGATCCTAGACTAGAAGAAAATTTGCTATGAAGGACATGACGGAACCAATAGGTAAAAATAAAATATGACCATACAGAATATAAAATATTATAAAATGGTACTGCATAAAAATGCTAAATTTCTTGATTTTGGTATGGGAAAGTCCTTTTTATAGGAACCACACACCGAATTATGTGGCAAAATGTTAACTGGTAAATCTAGATAATAAGTATATGAAGAAATATAAACTCAAGAAATCTGATTCCTGCCTTTAAGATGTTTACTAACAAGAAGAGATAAAAGTTACTCTTCCACCCTCTTTGTACTAAATGCTAGTGTTTCTGTTTACCCGGGAGCCTTTAATACATTGTTTAACATTTACAATGCTTAATTCAACAAGCTCATCTCCAGCACATCTGATGGTGACAAAGGTAGAAGTAGGAAACTGAGCACAAAGCTCTGGAACAATAATTTGGATTCTGATCTTTCTTGATCACTTAGGATAATATTTTTATAGCAATAAATGAACCAGAAGAAGTCATTCATAATATAACTTGGTGCTTAAAATGGACCTACAGGGTAGTGTGCTGATTAAAGTAAGTCAGATAGAGAAAGACAAATGCCATATGATTTTACTTATACATGGAATCTAAAAAACAAAATAAGCAGAACAGAAATAGATTCATAGATACAGAAAACTTTTTGACATACAAATTAAGAAGTACAAGTTGGTACTATTACAGAATAGTCCTGGATCATAAACTACATCGTAGGGAATATAGTCAGTAACACTGTGGTAACTATATATGGTGTTAGATAGATACTATATTTATTAGGGTAATCACTTTGTAAGTTATAAGTTAAATAAATGCCTAAACACTGGGTTGTACATCTGAAACTAATCTAATATTGTATATTAACTATAATTGAAAATTTAAAGATTATCTTAACAAATACACACTGATACCACCTCAATTCAAGTTGGAAAAAAACATGTTTTGGCCAAAACCGGTTTGGCTCAGTGGATAGTGTCGGCCTGTGGACTGAAAGATCCCAGGTTCGATTCTAGTCAGGAGCATGTACCTTGGTTGCAGGCACATCCCCAGTAGGGGGTGTGCAGGAGGCAGCTAGTCGATGATTCTCTCTCATCAATGTTTCTATCTCTCTCCCTTCTTCTCTGTAAAAAATCAATAAAATATATTTAAAGAAAAAAACATGTTTTGATAAAGCTAAATAAAATTTTAAACTATAATAAAAATAAAAATTAAAAAAGTGGGCAATTTCTCCAAATAAAATATACAAACAGAGCACTGCTATGAAAAGAAACTGAATGACCTACCTGGGCAAAACTTCAACCAAGTGTGGGAGGTTGGCCACCCAGAAACACAATCCTTTTATTTGGGGAAGTGGGTTGCAAATCTGTCCCCTTGCTCCCTGACCACACACCCTAGAGTGAGGCCTATCAACTTAATGGTCCTTTTCAGAGTATAGAAGGGAAAGACCTGCAGAAAAACAAACCCATAACAGTTTTCTATAGTAACCCAGCCAAGCTTTTTCATAAATCTGAATGGATAACCAAGGCTCACCAGATACCTTAGGAAAATTACTAGCACAAAAGAGTAGAATTAAGACGAATAGAAATAAATAATAATTCAGGGAATGAAAGAATTATTAGAATGAAAGATTCTATTAAATAACCCAATAGACATGGTAAAACAGAAATAGGCTACTGTGAAAGAGCAGAGGGCAGAGAACAAAAAGATTCTTAGAAATTGCCAAAACCAGTTTGGCTTAGTGGATAGAGCATCGGCCTGCGGACTGAAAGGTCCCAGGTTCAATTCCAGTCAAGGGCATGTACAGTGGTTGTGGGCACATCCCCAGTAGGGGTTGTGCAGGAGGCAGATGATCGATGTTTCTCTTTCATGGATGTTTCTAACTCTCTACCCCTTTCTCTTCCTCTCTGTAAAAAAAATCAATAAAATATGTTTAAAAAGAAGATTCTTAGAAATTAAAAATATGATTGTGGACTATAAAAGTTCATAAAAGGACTAAAAAATAGATTTAAGGATATATTTCAGGAACCAAAGGAAAAAGTCAAACAACCAGAAAACACGAGAGAAAAGCCAAGTCATCACAGTTCAATAAAGAGAAATGCCATAAAGATTAACTTAATAAAAATAAAAAATAAAAAGGAGAGGAATGGAAATACTCAAAGACACAACAGAAGAAAACTTCCCAGAAAAGACGAAAACTTCCCAGGAAAGGACATATTTTTAAATTGTGAAGGTTCTCCTAATACTGAGCAATGAATAACAGAAAATAACCCACAAAAAGGTGCATCATTGTGAAATTTCAAAACATCAACAGGAGATATCTGAAGCTTTGAGAAGGAAAAAAAAAAAGACAAAAAAAAAAAAGACCATCTACCAAAAGAATTAGATTGGCATCATGGTTCTCATCTGTGACACCACTGTGCTTGTGCTTGTCCAAAATGTTGAAATCATCTGTCCTCTGGATAAAGTCAAGTAAGAAAATGAATCTCAAAAAGGCTTAGTGTGTAAGCAGATAATGGCTACCATTTAGGACACTATCTCCTAAAATTTACAGGTAATCATTAAGCAATATATAACAACATAGCCAACTAGCAATTCCCAGTAATAACTTCATTGCAGAGTTTAGCTGGTTTATATTGAAGCCCCTATAGCTTTAATATCCAGGAACATTTTTCATCAAGGTATTATTTTAGAAAAAGTATTATCTGGCCGAAACCGGTTTGGCTTAGTGGATAGAGCATCGGCCGGCAGACTGAAAGGTCCCAGGCTTTGATTCCGGTCAACGGCATGTACCTTGGTTGCGGGCACATCCCCAGTAGGGGGTGTGAAAGAGGCAGCTGATCGATGATTCTCTCTCATCGATGTTTCTAACTCTCTATCCCTCTCTCTTCCTCTCTGTAAAAAATCAATAAAATATATTTAAAGAAGCCGGGACCGGTTTGGCTCAATGGATAGAGCGTCGGCTTGGGGACTGAAAGGTCCCGGGTTCGATTCCGGTCAAGGGCATGTACCTTGGTTGCGGGCATATCCCCAGTAGGGGGTGTGCAAGAGGCAGCTGATCTATGACTCTCTCTCATCGATGTTTCTAACTCTCTCTCTCTCTCTCTCTCTCTCTCTCTCTCTCTCTCTCTCTCTCCCTTCCTCTCTGTACAAAATCAATAAAATATATTTAAAAAATATATATATTTAAAGAAAAAAGAAAAGAAAAAGTATTATCTGACAAAGACCCAATATCACAATTGTTCAATGTAGAGGATATCATAAAAGTAAACTTTTATTAAAGTATAACATACATATTGAAAAGAGTACATACCATAAGCATGGTGAATTTTCATGGTGAAGATTGTAACTGGCACCCAAATCAAGAAACATTAATATTATCAGTACTCAGATGCTCCCTTTGTCTCTACCTGTTCCCCTCCCCAAAGGGTAATCATTATTTTGACTTCTAAGACCATGGAATAGATCAGCACAGTGGGTTATTTAACAAAGAAACCATTTTTTAAATATTTATTTATTTATTTATTTATTTATTTATTTATTTATTTATGTGGTTTTAGTTCCTTTATTTATATTTTCTAAAATTTCTTTAAACATATTATTTTATTGAGACAATTTTTTTTAAATATATATTTTATTGATTTTTTTACAGAGTGGAGGAGAGAGGAATAGAGAGCTAGAAATGTTGATGAGAGAGAAACCAGCTGACTCTTGCACACTCCCTACCAGGGATGTGCCCGCAACCAATGTACATGCCCTTGACCGGAATCGAACCTGGGACCTTTCAGTCCGCAGACCAACGCTCTACCACTGAGCCAAACCGGTTTCAGCTATTGAGAGAATTTTTAAGGAGGCAGTTACTCAATACAAAGTTTTCTTCAGATGTTGTATAACATAGGAGAAGAGGTAAAAATAAGACCAGCTCAAAGTCACTCTGCCAGCCACTGAACTTGTCTGAAAGGCTTTACATTTATTGAAACCCTGTGTGTGACAGGTACTTCAAAGCAGAGCTCTCTTTACGTAGATTATGAAAAAGTTTAACTAAAAAAGTTAACTAGAATCACATGTATCCTCTTCAGGGAAATAGTATCAGTGAGGGTCAAAACTTCTGCTATTTAAAAAAGGAAGGAAGGGCCGAAGCCTGTTTGGCTCAGTGGTAGAGCGTCGATCTGGGGACTGAAAGGTCCCAGGTTCGATTCTGGTCAAGGGCATGTACATTGATTGCAGTCACATCCCCAGTAGGGGATATGCTAGAGGCAGCTGGTCAATGTTTCTCTCTCATTGACGTTTCTAGCTCTCTATCTCTCTCCCTTCCTCTCTGTAAAAAATCAATAAAATATATTTTTAAATAAGGAAGGAAGGAAGGGAAGAAAGGGAAGGAAAGAAAAGAAGTGAAGGAAGGAAGGCCCCAAATATTCTGGCTTTAATAAAATAGTTTATTTCTCTCCCATATAAGAGATAAGTCATCCAGGTTGGTTGGCAGCTCTGCTCCACTGGGTCATTTAGGGATCCAGTTTTATTTCACTTTTGTGGCCCACCACCTTTTGGGCACTGCCCTCATCTGCATGATCTATCCTAGGTCACAAGTACCTCTGCTCACATTTCTTTGGAGAAAAACTAGTCATATGGCCACATCTTTTGAGAAACCATTTTTTTTTAAAAACAAATAATTTTTATTGATTTTAGAGAGGAAGGGAGAGAGAAACATCAATGATGAGAGAATCACAGATCACCTGCCTCCTGCACTACCCCTACCTTGGACTGAGCCTACAAACCAGGCATGTGTCCTTGACCGGAATCAAACTCGGGACCCTTCAGTCCAAAGGTCAACACTCTATCCACTGAGCCAAACTGGCTATGGCAAGAAAATATCTTTATATGTAGATGCTGAATGAGCTCTCATCTTGATCTGTCTTACAAAAGATCATTTCAGGATCTCTTAGCAGACCCCACTGCCTTTTCAGAAAGACCAATTTCAATAGCAGTGGTATATTTCTTTTCTTTTCTTTCTTTCTTTCTTTTTTTTTTTTAAATATATTTTATTGATTTTTTACAGAGAGGAAGGGACAGAGAGAGAGAGAGCTAGAAACGTTGATGAGAGAAACATCGACCAGCTGCCTCTTGCACACACCCCCATTGGGGATGTGCCCGCAACCAATGTACATGCCCTTGACTGGAATCGAACCTGAGACCTTTCAGTCCGCAGACCGACGCTCTACCACTGAGCCAAACCAGTTTCCGTAGCAGTGGTATATTTCACCCAATATAATGGCATCTGAAGAGAGTAAGATTTGTGAGGTTATAGTGTATTATTTATGTCCTGTGAAATACCAATCTGAAGTGTTCCGGCTGGCACTCAAACCATTGAGCAATGCTGTCCAGGGTGACTCAGAACTAATTTGAATTTATATCTTAGTGGTTAAATCTAAATTTATGAGGAAGATATAAACCCAAGTGAATTATTCAAGTATTAGAGCTGAAGTGAAAAAAAGTAGAGATTTCTAGTCCAGTTTCTTTTTCTTTTTCTTTTCTTTCTTTCTTTTTTTTTTTTTTTAATATATTTTATTGATTTTGTACAGGGAGGAAGGGAGAGAGAGAGAGAGTTAGAAACATCAATGAGAAAGAGTCATTGATCAGCTGCCTCTTGCACACCCCCTACTGGGGATATGCCCGCAACCAAGGTACATGCCCTTGACCGGAATCGAACCGGGGACCCTTCGTCCCCAAGCCGACGCTCTATCCACTGAGCCAAACCAGTCTCGGCCTGGTTTATTTTTCAAGCGCAAATTTATATAGTCTTTTCAACAAATGGTGCTAGGCCAGGTGGACATCCACCCACAAAAAATGTTTCACTCTTACCTCACATCATATATACATCACACACACACATATTTGTATATATATAAAGTACATATTTTTGTGTGTATACATATATATATAAAATAAGTCAAAATGAATCAGAGTTAAATATAAGAACTGAAACTATAAAACTCTTAGAAGACCACAGAGGGGTAAATCTTCATGACCTTAGATATTGCAATGATTTCTTAGATATGAGACCAGAGTACATGCACCAAAAGAAAAATCAGATAAACTGGACTCACCAAAATTTCAAACTTTTGTGCTTCAAAGAACATTATAAAGAGTGAAAAAATAATCCACACATAGAAAATACTTGCAAATCATATATTTGAAAAGGTTCTAATATCTATAAAAAGAACTCCTGCAACTCAACAACAAAAAGATAAACAATTAAGTTAAACAATAAAGGACATGCATAGGAATTTTTCCAAAGAAGATATACAAATGATCAATCAGCACATGGAAAATAAAAATCAAAACCACAGGGGCGGGGGGGGGGGAGGAGAGGGAGACCAACCAAAGGACTTATATGCATGCATATAAGCCTAACGAATGGACACAGACAACAGGGGGGTGAGGGCATGAGTGAGGGCGTGGAGGGCGGGGGGGGCAACAGGGAAATAAGGACACACATATAACACTTTAATCAATTAAGAAAAAATTTTTTTCCTCCAGTGTCAGGCTGTCAACCATCCAGGTGCCCACGGCCAGGGCGCTGGGCGTAGGCGAGCCTTTGTCCTCTCTGCCACCTCATGACGCAGGCGGGCACGGCAGCCCCACCTGCAACGCCTCAAGGGGCAGCAATAAAGAAATTAAAAAAAAAAATCAAAACCGCAATGATATACCACTCACACAATCACATGACATAATAAGCATTGGTGAGGATGTAGAGAAATTTGAACCCACATACATTGCTGGTGGAAATGTAAAATGGTACAGCTGCTTGGGAAACAGTTTGGCGGTTCCTCAGTAAATTAGGCATAAAATTACCATAGACGTAAATTCTTACTTCTAGGGATATGCCCAGAAGAATTAAAACATATGCCCACACCAAAATGTTCATATTACTACTACTCACATTAGCTAGCCTAAAGGTGTACACAACCCACATGTCCACCAATTGATGCATGAATAAACAAAATGTGATATATATACAATAAAATATTAGTCAGCCATAAAAAGGAATGAAGTACTGACACATGCTGAAATATGGAAGAACTTTGAAGACATGTTAATTGAAAGAAGTCAGTTACAAAAGGCCACATACTGTATGATTCTATATATTACATAAAATGTCCAGAGAGAGGAAGAAAGTAGATTAGTGGTTGTCAGAGGAATGGAAACTAGACTGCTTAATAAGTAAGGGGTTTCCATCTGTGATGAAAATGTTCTAGAACTAGATAGTGGTTATGGTTACACAACATTGTGAACATACTTAATGCTACTGGATTGTACACTTGAGGATGGTAAATTTTACATGTTTTTTGCCTCAATTAAGAAAAAGCACCTAGTATGGTCTTTGCACATGGTAGGTATTCCATAGTCATTGATTTTAATGACTGTGCTACATGGTTTTGGTCAATCCCAGCTTCTAGTAAAGGCAGACTTTGCCTTGAACAAACACAGCCCTAGAGATTTACTGAATTCTCTAGCTCTTCTGCCTGAGGATATGTACAAAGACTTAGCAACTATATTCCTTCCCCTTTTATGCTATATCCCGCATCCGTACATACAAGATGCCTTCCAAATAAGTTCTAAACTGCTTCCTGCCAGCCACCAGCAAGGCAAGCAGCTTCATTCTATACAGTCAATCAAAACTGAGGAACAACAGTAACAAAAGGTTGTACTGTACTGAGAGTTAGGTTGGAAGATGGTGGTAAAGAGGTATTTTTTTCATTTGACCTGATAAGACAATTACAAATATGAAATGATACACATTACATTACTCTGAGATCATATACTTACTCTAGACCAGTGGCACTTTTAACATTTAGGGCAGAACAATTATTCGTTGTGGGAGGATGTCTTGTGCATTGTACGATGTTAAGCAGCATTCCTGGACTCTACCCACTAGACAAGAGCAGCATTTCTCAGTCATGACAATTAAAAATGTCTCCAGACATTTTGCCACCCAAGGGCAAAACGGCTCTCAGTTGAGAATCACTGTCCATTATGGGTTGTACTGGGAAATACAAAACAAACGGACCAACTTGGATTGCTATGGATCAACCTCATAAAGCTAATATTTTTTTTGGAAAGGACTGTGGGAAAGTTCAAGAGCTGAAATTCTCAAATGTACATATATTCTTAGGACCAGAACAATGGCCACCCAAACTAAGGGGAGTTGGAGTAAAGCAGCAAGCACCTAGTGATAAATGTAATGCTGGTGTTCTGGTTATTTAACTCCCTTTTCTTTCTTTCTTTCTTTTTTTTTTTTTTTTTAAATATATTTTATTGATTTTTCACAGAGAGGAAGAGAGAGGGATAGAGAGATAGAAACATCGATGAGAGAGAATCATCGATCAGCTGCCTCTTGCACACCCCCTACTGGGGATGTGCCCGCAACCAAGGTACATGCCCTAGCCCGGAATCGAACCTGGGACCTTTCAGTCCGCAGGCCAACGCTCTATCCACTGAGCCAAACCGGTCCCGGCTTAACTCCCTTTTCGATCAATGATGCTCAAAGAACACTGAAGAAATGGTCCCTGTTCTGCATGCTTGATGCCTCGGGATAAAAGCACTTATTCAGACACTGCCATAAAATAAAGGAACGGCCTACCTTAGAGTCCCATTCTCGCCTTTGTCCAGGCTGGTGAACCGGCTGTAGAGGCGGGTGATCTGACTGTGGGAAACTAAAGAACACAAAATTAGTCCCAGTTGGAGAAGTTGCCCTCCACTCAAACAGCACTCCTATGGCCCTTTGGAAGCCAGTTGACCCTTTGATCTGAGCCCATCACTGAATCTTCAAAGTGAACAAAAGAGGGAGATGTCTCAACTCTAACTCATCTCTAGAGTGTAAAAGAAGAAATTTTAACAGCTAAAAAAATGAAAGGAATCAGTATGCAAACTAAGTCAAGAGCAATCAAAATAGACTCTTGGGAATGAAGTTTATGCTTAATTAAAATATGTGTTAAATGGCAGGTAGTTAAGACTTAACACAAAACCAATTTTAGTTGAAAAGGAAATTGTGAAATTTTCCTTTCATTCCTCTACCTTATAGGCTATGAAAATGCATACTTTGATTAAAAACAACTTATTAATCAGTTTGAGGTTTCAGGTTGGCACTGTAGGGTAGGGAACTTGAACTGAATTTAAGGCTGAGCACTCAAACAGATTTTATTTTTTGTTAATCCTCACATGAGGATATTTTTCCCACTGATTTTTAGAGAGAGTAGAAGGGAGAGAGAAACATTGATGTGAGATTCATTAACTGGTTGGTTGCCTCCCTCATTCAGATGGAGGCAGGAATCTAACTTGCCCCAGACCAGAAATGGAACCCAAGACCCTTCAGTGCAAGGGCTGATGCTCTAACTGCTGCTATAGGCAGTTAACCATGAGCTGAGCAAGAACAAGGGGCCAGGTACAGAAGGTCACCAGGATGGAAGGTCCCAGGTGCCTAGCAATGGACAAATGTAGGATAGAACCTTATCCCCAGGATGACTTTTTCTCCCCTAGCAATTGCTGGTCATGAGGTTTGGACCCCCTGATCTTTTCTCCTTAGAGATAACATCTAGGCTTCAGTTGTACTTCAATTCCAGGCCCAGATAAGCAACAAAACTAGCCACAGCTGACCACAGGGCCAACTGCATTGAATAATGACTCCTGCCCTGGTGCCGGCCAATCAATCAGTGGAGACCACAAACCTGAAAGGTCACCTGCTTTTCCCTTCCCTCTCCATTTCCCTTTTCCTTCTTCCTCCCCAGGGATGTTACCATTAGCTTCCTCACTCCCAAGTTCCAAGGACCCTTCCTTTACCTCTATAACTTGTTTTCTAAACCCATTTCTTCTAGGAATCACTTCTGCTACCGCTGTAATTTACCAAATAAATGTTCTCTTACAGTTTGGGTCTTGGCTCTGAATTCTTTCCTAACCAGAACCCAAGTACCGAGGTTGCTGACCCCCACCAGTCAGACACATGTGCTGTTCCTACCACCTAAAACATAACCAGTAAGAAACACTGGCCAGGGCAAACATTTTATCTTTAAAATCTGGTTCACCCCTGCACCAAGCATTAGTGGCTTTACCATTTCCCTCAGTAAAAGAACACCCGAGCCTTGGACCAGCCTCTTTTCTGTGATTGCATGATCTCCACTGAGTTCTCAGTATAGGTGTTAGGGGCAGAAATAGAATATTGGGAACTAGCTATGGTTATAAGAAACATTAATCATGCTCTGTTAACTTTGACCTGGCCTAGTTGCTCAAACAATAGAGTCCCTCCTCAGCCCGAATAGCCTACTTCTCCATGCCTGTAATAATATCCATTTTGCATACCCATTATTTTTTTAAAAATATATTTTTATTGATTTCAGAGAAGAGAGAGGGAGAGAAACATCAATGATGAGAATTATTGATTGGCTGCCTCCTGCATGCCCAACACTGGAGATCAAGTCCACAACCCAGGCATGTGCCATGACCAGGAATCAAACTATGACCTCCTGGTTCATAGGTTGATGCTCAACCACTGAGCCATGCAGGCCAGGTTGCATACCCATTTTTATTCCTTTTGCCTACTTCCCCATATAATATTTGCCCTACCCAATATAAGCAGCTGGCAGATTTTCGTGGATGAACAACCTGCTGCTCTCCCATACTGCTGACATTATTGGAATAAACGCTCATATATGATATAGCCCTGTCTCTGCCTAATTGACTCAAGTACAGGCAGCCCGGTGACAGGCAGCCCTGACCCATTGGTTGTCCAGTTTCAAAGGAATGGGCTCCAAAAAAACAAATTAGGCAATTTGTAAAATTGGCATGTCATCAGCTGACATTTACTAAGAACTTATTTTGCTCATTATTTGGGAATAACCCAGGCATAAACTGACAAGTAAAATGAGGTAATAAAAAATGATAAAAGGAATTTCTGGAAAATAGTCTCCTGGCAGACTAAAGGTAGAAGGGGGAAAAGTTATCAAAAGAAAAAAGACATAGCCAATGGAGGGTGTGGCGAGCGTGGACTTTGTCCCAGGCTCTTTTCCAGGGTTTAAAGGAGAGGCTGAAAGAGTTCTGATAGTCGTCCTCCTCACCTCTGCTCTAGAAACAAAAATTTACTTGCAGTTTTAGAAACAATAGGACAAAAGTAAACAGAGGCACAGCAGGAGAAGCAGGAAGTGAGTGGTCCAAAGCTAGGCTGGGAGGACACACCAGGTGCTGTGAATGCCTCAGCATCAGGTTTCATCCCCAAACTGGGCTCTGTTCTGTTCTCTAAGGAGAGCAGAGGAGGCGTAATTACCTAGCCCCAGCCAGGGCACAGCCAGTGGGATTTCAGGCACTGAGGAAGCATTGTGGACCTTTCTGCCAGCCCGGCAGATGTGAACAGCTTGGTATAAACAGTACCCTCTTGGGAGGAACAGGTTGACAGAAAGATTTCGTTCATGGCACCATAGCTTACCAGTGAGGGGTGCATAAACAGGAGGGCTGTGGAGTGAACTATGGGAGGCAGTTAGACAGACATGAGCAGAGCGAGGACAATGGGCTAGGTACAAAAGGTCATCAGAGTGGAAGGCTGTCGGTGCCTAGCTAAGGACAAAATGTAGGGTGGGACCTTGCCACCAGGGTGACCTTTCCTCCCTAGCATATCGTTGGTCATGCAGTTTGGACCCCTGACCTTTCCTCCCTCGAGATAACATCTAGGCTTTAGTGTATTTCAGCTCCAGGGCCTAGAAGAGCAATCAAACCAACCGCAGCTGACCACGGGACCAACTGCATTGAATAATGACTCCATGCCCTGGTGCCAGCCAATCAATCAGTGGAGACCACAAACCTGAAAGGACACACCTGGAAAACTGTTGAATACCCTTTTGAGATCTTCTCCTGGGACCTCCCCTCACATTTCCACCCTTAAAACCTTTAGGATCGAGGACACAGAGGACCTAGCACACTTTCCCTCCTGGGACCATCCGCAGTCTTTTTCCTTCCCCTTCTCTGTCTCCCACGTGCATTACCATTACCTTCCTCACTCCCAAGTTCCCAGGGCCCTTCCTTTACTCTTATCACTTGTTTCCTAAGCCCATTTCTTCTAGGAATTACTTCTTCTACCGCTGTAATTTACCAAATAAATGTTCTCTTACAGTTTGGATCTTGGCTCTCAATTCTTTCCTAGCCAGAACACAAGTACCGAAGTCCAGTCTGACCCCATGGGTCTAACAGCCAGTCCTGTTCCAGCCGCCTACAACAGAATTAACGAAGTCCGTGGGGGTGGTTGGCAAAGTGGCTGGCACATGGTAAGTACTCCAAGTCATTACCATCATCCTTACATTACGAGCCTGAAGGTACAGTTTTACTGCTGCACTAGTTAACCTCCTTCTTTCTCCTGATTCTGCCAGCCACAGCCATATTCTTCAGGAGGCTGAGGAGTTTATCCTAGCATTGGCCTTGGGCCTCAAAGGCTGCTCTAAATCTCAAGTTCCTTTTAGTTTAACAAAATTAGTTAATGAATGACTAACTTTCCCAAAAGATTTTTTGAGAAAGCCAAATTTGTTCACAATCTCAACAACACTGTTTTAATTTCTTCAAATATCATCTAATGTCAGTTACTTGTATACTTTACCTAGTTTTGATAGCTTACTTTTCAATTATTAATTCATAATTTTTCTATACTGCTTTAGAGTCCTTTTAAATAAATGCATAATATTTAGACCACTAGATCACTTTTTAGTAGAGTAGTATATATTTCAGGTTACTTTTCTTTAACAAGAAAAACATCCAAATTGAAAAGTCTCCGTAACTACTCAGTTCCCTGTCTTACTTGCCAGAAGCAAACACTATTACCAGTTACTTGTGAATCTTTCTACAAATTCCACATGTGTATATACAAGCAATTACTGTATAATGATTTATACAATTTTTAAATAGGATGCAATCATCTAATCCAACCCCTTCAACTAATAAGTGAACCATCAGATATCCTTCTAATACAGATCACTATCTGAAAGAACTGGGCACTTGCCCTGGCCATTGTGGTTCAGCGGTTAGAGCATAGGCCATGCACCAAAGAGTCAACCAATAGATGTCTCTCTCACATCTTCTCACATCTATGCCTCTCCCTCCCTTCCTCCCATCTTATCTAAAATCAATGAAAAATATTCTTGGGTGAAAAGTGACAACAAAAAAGAACTGGCACTGAAACTTCTTAGTATGATTTTTAAAATGCCCTTAAGTAAGTACCACTATGGCACTTACACCCATGTTTTAGATTAAAAGATCAGTTTAGACTGCTAGAGTTCATAATTTACCAATGTATTAAAATAAGTAGTCAGAACCCCACAAAACTGCTATCTTCCAGGACAAACTGGGCAATATGGAAATCAGTGGAGAAATGTACAACCAAATGTTATTTAATACATCTCAGTGTTATAAAGATATTGTTACAAAGGGCTTTTACGAGGAGGAGGAGGAAAAGGAGAACATCAGGATGAGAGAAGGAGGAGAACAGGGGTGGGAAGAGGGAGAGAAAAAGAGGAGGAGAAATGAGGGGGGGGGGGAAACAAAACAGAGGGGAGGGAAGAAAGGAGGGAGGACTTAAAGCTGTAGTTTAGGTGTGAAATCCACCATGACCAAGAATAGAAAGCAATCTTCAAGGCATAGTGCTCAGAGCTACTTCAAGAAGCAGAAAGATCTTGGAACTACCACA